TGGCAGCATTGCTCAGTGGTTGAGTGCTGACCTATGAGCCAAGAAGTCACAGTTGAATTCCTAGTCAGGATCGTGGGCTTGATCTCCAAGGGTGGGTGTGCATGAGGCAGCCAATCAATGTTTCTCTCTCATCCTTGATGTTTCTATCTCTCTCCCTCTCCCTTCTTCTCTGAAATCAATAAAGATATATTCAAAAAATAAATAAAAATATAAGTTAAGTAGTTAAAATAAAATTAATGTATAGCAATTTATAATATGAAATAAAAGGATTAAAAGCATATGAGAGCCGAAACCGGTTTGGCTCAGTGGATAGAGCGTCGGCCTGCGGACTGAGGGGTCCCAGGTTCGATTCCGGTCAAGGGCATGTACCTGGGTTGCGGGCACATCCCCAGTGGGGGATGTGCAGGAGGCGGCTGATCGATGTTTCTCTCTCATCGATGTTTCTGACTCTCTGTCTCTCTCCCTTCCTCTCTGTGAAAAATCAATAAAATATATTTTAAAAAAAGCATATGAGAGTACTATATATTAGCAGACAAACTGGCATTTTCAAAATACATATTCTATTTTCAATGTGGTTAGCAAATTGAGAAATAAACATAGTTTTTATGTATCAGTTTTTATGTGAAATAAAAATAATTTATGACTTCTAACCCAACTAAGAGATTTTTAAAAATATATGTATATTTTTATTGATTTCAGAGAGGAAGGAAGAGGGAGAGAGAGAGAAAAACATCAATGATGAGAAAGAATCATTGATCAGCTGCCTCCTGAACGCCCTCTACTGGAGATGGAGCCCACAACCCAGGCATGTGCTCTGATTAGGAATTGAACCGTGACCTCCTGTTTCATAGAACAACACTCAGCCACTGAGCCATGCTGGCCAGGACCACCTAAGAGTTTTTAACAGGTGTTAAAAACTTGGTTCACGCATGTACATTAATTTTTCTTAGAGAACAAGCCGTACTCTCAGTTGTAGAATAGGAGAGCTGATATAGCTTTGACTTCTACAACTCATGGAAATCTGGTAGTATATTTGGCTCAATGCCGAACAATTGCGTCTGTATCATTAATGTTTTGAATAGGTACACAAAGACAGGTAACTGCAGCACTGAGCAAAAAGATAACTAACTTCCAATGGCTGAGGTTTTCTCTTTGGTGTGATCATAATAGACTTTGTTTAAGCCATTCAATGAGCAGTTAAAGCAGTCTCCAGAGAAAGAAGATTAAATATTGGCACTTTGAAATAGGGAAGAGACTAAGGAAAGAAGATAATGGAGAGAAAAGGAGAGAAAAGCTTCACAGTGACTCTCCAGCTCAGAATAGATTCAAATCTATTTCCTTCTATCTCTAAGTGTTTCACATTTTATCCTTATATGAAACCACATTTTTATTTCAGCTCCATTGATTATGTTCTGTGTCTTGCAGATGAATGACTCACTTAAGAAAATCTTTTCCCCAAAATATTACATACATCAATAGATCTCTCTCTCTCTTTCTTGCTTCCTCCCCCTCCCCGCCTCATTCCAAAATTACCAAAAGTCATCTAGATTGATTGAGCAGTACCAAAGTTTTATCTTGCCACATGGTTAAAAGTCATAGTTCCATATTTTTATTTTTATGTCACAGCAAATGAAAACAGCTATGAGTTGCAATATAGAATATAACTTTAACTTATACTTTTTTGTTTACAGTTTTAATATTGGAATTTATTTAGAATTTAGAGGTACAGATTTGAGAAGAACCACTTCAAAATTCATTTCTACTTCTATTTATTAGTAATTACTGGGATTTGAAAAAATCATAAAATTATAAAAATTACAAAAATATAAAATACAAATTAACACTTGTGGCTGATTTTATAATTTTTAATCTACTTGAAAATTTGAAAGTGAAAGTAGAAAGAAATGCTTTTTTGCAAATGTGGGTATTATGTACATCAATGTATGTTTTGGACTTTTGATGTTGGTTCCATTAATTATTGTATGAACAACTATAAACTTACTTTTGTCCCACCCTGTATATCCCACGAAGCAGTAATTCCACTATTAGAGTATTAAAGCTTATGAAATTTTTGCACTTCATTACCAATGATTCCTCATAGGGATACTAATGTTTTTACAGTGATAGAATAAAAACTTTTCCAGGCACTGACTGGCTATATACTTGGTAGTATATTTGCATATGAAATATCACAGAGCAAAGAAAATACAGATTTAGAATGCATCTAAAAATAAAATGTAGTGATAATAAAAAAGAAAGTTGCAGTGACTACACATTGTATAGTGATATTTTTATTAAATGAGCAGAATTATAAACATACATAAAAATAAATGTATTCATTCATAAATGCATGTGTATAAATCTATGCATTGGCATATGTACTGAGCATTTTAGGAAACATAAATGCATGATTATGCATTTTTTTAAATTCTAAAAAAATTATGTATAAACATATATTCAGGTTACTGGTTAAAATAATATATGGATAGCATGAGTAAAACTACATCCTTAATAAAATGCACATGAGAAAATAACTAGTTATCATTATAAAACTATCAGGAAAGTTAGAAAGCTTTTCAACAAAAAATAATAAGCAAGAGCTTCTCAAATATATTATTACAAAATAATAGTTTTACCACCATTCCCTGCGTTATTTATGCATTATCTAGTTATTCTTTCTCTGTAACAACATTTTCACAAGTTATAATATAACATTTTAATAATATCCCATTTACGCTATTCATTTAACTTATGCTATTGAGTAAGAGATAAATGAATATCTGATTTGAGAATGTTAATTTGTAACTTCATCTCAGAATCTTTTTACCTTTTTGCTGCACTTTTTCTACATTGTACAATTATGGGCACCCAATATAAATTAACTAATTATCAAAGTGTTCTCTTTGAAATTAACATAACAAAACAAAAGTTTTTATCTTAAATATTTTGGATGATACGTCCTTTAAATTTTTACAATTTCCCAGGTTTTATTATAAATAAGAAGTTGAACAAATAGTTTAAGTTCACTTTTTACTACCAAATGAGGTAAAGTGATTTTTCAAAGGCTTAATTATAGGAAGATGAAAACATCAAAATTATATATGTAAAATTTTATTTAACATACAATGTATTTGATCCTTGAAGAATGCAAGTTTGAACTGTGTGGGTCCACTTATACTATATAGTGCCACACACTCTTTATTCCACCCAATAGATAAAGACTAAAGACTATATTCCAAATACCAGAGACTGAAATCTTCAGCCTTGCCTAAGGGAACACCTGTATCTCTAAATTTCTTCTGTGTTGTTTTGTATGGGGCATTCTCTGTTCTAACTTGTTTACGTTATTATACAATTAGCAAAACAGCTTATATTGGTATTTATTTTCTACTCCATACCTCTAATTTATTAGATTAAAATATATTAGATAGTAATACCCAGAATAAATTTTAAAACAATATAAATGCTACACAAATATAATTCTAATAAACATTGTAAACAAATAAAATATAATTTAATTTAAAAATTAAACTTTAACAAATGTTTAGGTAGCTCACAAGAAAGTAGGTAACATAAAACAGGAACAAAAACTACAACAAAAAAAACAAAAATAAAATGCCAAATTAAACCCTAGATATTAATAATTACATTAAATGTAAATATTTAAATACACCAATGAAAAGACAGAAATCAGTAGAGTAAATTTAAACACATGATCCAATTATCTGTTCACTAAATACATTAACTTCAAATATAAGAACACTAGAGGCCAGGTGCACGGATTCGTTCACTGGTGGGTTCCCTTGGCCGGGCCAGCACCTTCTCATAATCAGGACCCCTTGGGGGATGTTGGACTACCAGTTCCAGCCTGATCCCCACAGGCCAGGCTGAGGAACCCCACCGGTGCACGAATCCATGCACCGGGCCTCTAGTATGCATATAAGATCTTTGGTTAATCTCTTCCTACCTTCCCCTCTCCCCCTTCCCTCTGAGATTTATCAGTCTGTTCCATGTTTCCATGCCTGTGCCTTGAATGTCTGTCCCCTGGTGGTCAGTGCACATCATAGTGAGCAGTTGAGCAGCCATAGCATATCATTAGCATATTACACTTTGATTGGTTGTTTGGTTGTTCTGCTGTTCGGTCTATTTGCATATTGCCCTTTTATTATATAGGAGTAGAGGCCCGGTACATGAAAATTCATGCACTGCAGGGGGTGTCTGTCAGCCAGGCCTGTCCTCTCTCACAGTCTGGGAGCCCTCAGGGGTGGGAGGCGACCTAGCGATCAGGGGAAGGTGACTCCCTATCACACCCAGCGCAAGCCTCGGCCGGCCCTGGTTACCTGAGCCTTGGGCGGCCCTGGATGGCTGGGGGGTTGAGGGGACTGGGGAGCTCCAGAGGCAGGCGGCAGGGCTGAGGGGACTGGGCGCAGCCATCCTGTGGCTGTGGGCGCTGCTTTGAGGGCAGGGCAGTCAATTAGCATATTCCCTCTTTATTAGATAGGATAATCAGATTATAAGTAAAATGATGGAAAAGGTATATCACAAAAATATTAATTTAGAAAAAGAATAAGTAGTATTTTTTTAAGTAGTATTAAGAATAGGTAGTATTCAAATTAAGTAGTATTCAGAGCAAATAAGATTGCCATAGGCATTAAGGAATATAATATTATGATACAAGGAACAATCTTTCAAGAAGGCATAATTATCTTAAATGTGTATGCATCAAATGATAGACCTGCAAATATATAAAACAATTTTATACTAGTTTTATCCTATTGAACATAGAGAATTATGAAGTTAAAATATGATTACTGATTGAATTCTGAAAAAATTGTACACTTATATAATTTTTCTGGTAGGGTCACTATGTGATGGTATTGTTATTTTATCCTGTGTACTTGATGTTCTTAAGAATAATAAGAGCAGGATACTGACCTTCAGTCGGTCAGCTTAAGCGCCATGGCGCCCTCCAGGAAGTTTTTCATCAGGGGAATTGAAAGATGAATGGGCGGAAGAGGACTCTGGGGGAACTCATCACCACTCTGAACGCCGCCAAGGTGCCAGCCGACACAGAGGTGGTTTGTGCACCCCCCATGGCCTACATTGACTTCGCCAGGCAGAAGCTAGATCCCAAGATTGCTGTGGCCGCCCAGAACTGCTACAAAGTGACTAATGGGGCTTTTACTGGGGAGATCATCCCTGGCATGATCAAAGACTGTGGAGCCACATGGGTAGCCCCGGGGCACTTGGAGGGAAGGCAGGTCTTTGGGGAGTCAGATGAGCTGATCGAGCAGAAAGTGGCCCATGCTCTGGCTGAGGAACTTGGAGTGATCGCCTGCTTTAGGGAGAAGCTAGATGAGAGGGAAGCTGGCATCACTGAGAAGGTGGTTTTTGAACAAACCAAGGTCATCGCAGATAACGTGAAGGACTGGAAGAAGGTTGTTTTGGCCTATGACCCTGTGTGGGCCATTGGTACAGGCAAGACTGCAACACCCCAGCAGGCCCAGGAAGTACACGAAAAGCTCTGGGGATGGCTTAAGTCCAATGTCTCTGATCCAGTAGCTCAGTGCACCCGCATCATTTATGGAGGTTCTGTGACTGGGTAACCTGCAAGGAGCTGGCAAGCCAGCTGACATGGAGGGCTTCCTCGTGGGTAGTGCATCCCTCAAGCCTGAATTTGCGGACATAACAATGCCAAACAACAAGCCCCAAATCCATCTCCCTGCCCTTCCTGCTATGCCAAGGACTGTGAAGCTCAGAAGCCCAATAACTGCTCCTCCCTCTCCCCACCCCCACACATGCTTCTGATGGTATCACCTGCCCCTTCTTGTGGCCTAATCCAAACTGTACCTCTCCTTTACCATGTACATCTATTATGGTTGGGACAACCCCTTCTCCACTTACTATAATAATTGGAACAAAACATGTCACCAAGATGGCTTCTTCTTGGCTGAGAGGTAGAAGAGTGGGTTTGTTCATGGGCCCCTCAGTCCCCTCTTGTCCACAGGAAAGAAAAGCCATCCTCCTCTCCCATCTCGTACATGGGGCCAAGGGCTGGGAAAGAGCCTTGTCCTGGCCGAAGGCCAAGGGTGCAGTTTTCCTCCCTGGTGCCAACTCCTGTGTGTTCTGTATGTGAGCAGTCCCACTCGGGGGTGGGAATAAACATCTGGCACTATAAAAATATAATAATAAGAGCAAAGGAACATTTTCTAGGATTAAGCTGTCACCTGCTTTACGGTAGTTGCAAAATTCATGGACAGTTGGAAAGCTTTTCAGTAAAGGTAACAACTTCAGAAAATGATATAAAAGAAGTACTTTTAACAGCTGAAAGTAGTGGCCCCATGGAACAAAAAAATGAATGGTGAGGGTTCTGTGTGATGTTCATATTGAAGTTCTATTCTTTTGTGCCTCATCACAGATCAAATGTGATGAGGCACTTATTACTAAATAAAAGGATATGGGGCTTTTACTTTCACAAATCAAAGAATCCAGTTGCTCTTACTTTTATAAGTACTATGAGGGATTAAAGATTTAGATTTTTAAAAAAAGCAGCATCTTAACTTCTGCCACCAACTATGGATTGCAGGATGTTAGTGCCTTACATAGAAAGTACTTCTTTTAAAAGGCACCTAAAGTTGCTACATTATTGTCACATCCCATTTTGCCACCAAAGACTACAAAATGGAGTTCTCTTATATAATATCTGTAACAATTTCTTCTTTTAGGTTTCAATTTTCAAACCTTAGAGTAGATAGTCTATATGTGGTCCCTTTAATACACAATAAACCTTACTAAATGTGAAATATATCTGTAAAATATCAATATTTCCCCTGCCTTGCATGCACTGTCTTGCATCCTCTCTAACCACCCTGATGATCTTTGAACACACCAAATTTTACTTGTATTTTAGGGACTTTCACAGCTTTTTCTCTTCACTTAAAATCCTTCTTACCAAGATTGTCATGTAGCCAACACTCTCACTTACTTAAATCTTTTTTCAAATATCTTTTTATGGCTCAAATAGTACTCTACCTTTAATACTCTATTTATAACTGCAGTTTACTCTTGTGTCTAATATTCCTGAACTCTCTTTATATCTGTTCTTACAAAATAGTATCTTCAACATTATATTCAATTTGTTATGTCTAGTTACTACTTATTACATATTTCCCACTAGTGGAAGACAAATTCCATGAAGACAGGCATGTTTGCTTTGTTCACATGTATAGACTAAGTTCCTTCCATAGTTCCTGGCGTACAGTGGGTATTCACAAAATATTGTTTGAATTAATGCTGCTCTAAATGATAATACATTTATTTGTATGTACTATAGAAAAAGGTTTCATTTAGATTTCCACTTCTTATTTTGTATAACTTGCATCCATCGCCTGTCATAATGTCTTGTTCTGTAAAATAACAATGTTTTATACTTTCTTTTCCTTTTACCTGACTTAATTTTTGTTACTTGTTTTTCTACAAACTTTTCAAAAAGAAAAAGGAGTAACATAGCTTTCTAAAATATAAATAATATTATATATGGCCAACTCACTTATAACTTTTATTACAACTTCTTATGCTCTTTAAAATTATAGGGCTATATATTCTAAGATTGTAAGCTCATTTACAGATGTAAGGGTTGAGAGGCCTGAGGTACTTTACATATTTACATGTAATGCAAGTATTGTTAATATATTATTATACTGTATAAGTATATACATATATTGGTGATATTAACATATTTATTAAAGTATCTTCATAGGAAAACCATTTTATCTGTAGTATTATGCTGGGTATCTAGTTGAGAAGAAATCTGCAAGTATGCTTCCATTCATAAACTCAATATGAGTGTATTGAGTACCTACAAAGTACCAGACCTTGGACTATGGTATAAGGATATAGAAGAATACAAGACAAGAAAGATTGGGTTCTGCATGAAACTTTTATTTGGAAGTATTAAAATAAAATTATTTACAAATGAATGGAAAGTTTATTACAATGAAATATAAAATAAAACATGAATAACCATTGTTATAATTTTTTCAAAGTAGAAATGACTAACACTTCATTTACATGCACCTAAGGAAATACATTATTAATAGATTAATTTAATGTAAAATATTATATGTATATGAACATTTTATTACAATAAAACAACATAATGTGCTTAGCTCTTTGCAGATATTCTAGTGCCTATTCACACACTTAAACTTTATTCTCTGAGACTGCAGTATTATGTTGCCTACTGTTCAAAGCTTAAAAGCAGTTGCTTCATATATTTTTTTCAGTTTATATTGCTTTACATATGGAGGGTTATTCCAGTACCAATTAGTCCATCATAGTGAGAAGTGAACGTATAAAGTCATGTAAAGTACATATTATTTCATAGAAAGGTCATCTGAGAAAGGACAGATCCCCAGTAACAAAGACCATGTGACGAGTGGTTGAACTTGTACAGACAAGCAATGATTAGTACTTACTTGAAATAGGATAATAGTTTTAAGAATGAAAATAATAGAATGTTCAATATTATAATATTAAAATGTAATATAAATTTTCATTTACTGTATATTTCAGCATTTGTGAAGAACACAACTATAGTGATTTTGAAATGCCTAGAGCAGAGTGTGTTGTCATAACACTATTTATTATAATATAGAAGAGCTAACTTTAAACCCAACTCATCACACTGACAGATCTAAAATCCCCTTGGGTTCCAAACTGGTAAAAATGTTTCCTCTGTCTTAATGTATTCCTTGAATCTATATATTGCTATTTCTCTTTGCAGACTAATTAGAGAAGTAAGATCTATAAAGGCCCAGAGGTCAAATCAATGAAATAAGAAGACTAATTTGTTTCACTGTGTCATATGGGTGAGTCATGATCAAGAGCAAGAAAATTATGATTGAAACTGTTCCCAGTGACAGATTAACACCCAGAGGATTAGAACTTTATATAAGACACTCTATGAAAGTAAGCAAATGATCTGGTCATTGAATAGGACATATAAGATTATGGGCTACAGGTAGTGGCAAATGGATGTATGAGCCCACTAGTTTCTGAGAAATTACAGATCAGAGCTCATGATTTTCTTTTTTCTTCAGATACTATCATATTGCCCAGTTCATAGTAGGCATGCAATATACTGCTGCTGATTATGAAATGAGTGTCATTCCCCAGTCTAAAAAAACAAAAGGTCTAATGAGGGATATAATCATATTGTTAGAAAGGCTTACATTTCCTTATAGTTCTTCCACTCAACAAATGTTCATGTAAAAAAGTATCACGGCAATTGGATTATACAGGGTGTCCCAAAAAGTGTACACATATACATTTGAATAATTATAAAGGCAGTGTTTATTTAAATACATTTCATTTTAATTTAACAGCTATTTGCTGTTCAAGTGTGTACACATTTTTGGGGAGACACATTGAATTTACAATCAGTGAAAACTTGATCCTGTGACCTTTCATAGCCCTTCTTAGTCACAATTTTCCTTTCAGATGACAAGAGTGTGGGTTTTGTTGGTGCAAAGAACTCCTCTTTGAATAGCTATCAAACCTGGAAGTAAAGATTAGTGAATTCATGGTCATGAACCTATTTCTGTACATTTTTCATGTAAAGAAGATCCCTTGCACTTATGCAAGTTTAAGTATAATCTGATGCTACTAGGTCAAATAAGTTCTTGGGTATACTGATTTTGTGCAGGAAGTAAAAATATACATATAACTAATACATACCTATTCCTTAAGAAAAAAACAAAACAAACATGGGTTCATTATCACCAAGCTGCTGTTGGTTTCCTCAAGGGGTGGTGCCATAGCCTGCTACTGTTTTCTGTTTGGTTAACAGTAGCTAGGCTAGCATTGTTAGCATAAGTCAATGCTGTTGGGCCCTGGCATTACCTTTATGGCTGTCACAAGGGCCATGTCTTTCATGTGCCCGCTGTGGACAAAAGGGGCCATAGGCTAACCTGACAAGCTCAGGGAAGGCCTGCATGGCAATCTTGCAAACTCAGAGACCTAAAGTAACCACAGCAGATGGTCTGAAATTAAACTTAAATTAAAAGCAGTTATGGTGGGTAGTTACATCCTAGGTCAGTATCTTCACTGACAAGGTCAACCTTTACCTTAACTGAGCCTATCTGTCTGTCTTTTTTTTTCTTTCTCTCTCTCTTTTTATTTTTTTGAAAATCTTTATTGTTCAGATTATTACAGTTTTTCCTCTTTCCCACCCCACCCTCTGCCCTTATCCCCCCACTGTCCTCATCCATAGGTGTACGATTTTTGTCCAGTCTCTTCCCGCACCCCCACACCCCTTTCCCCCCGAGAATTGTCAGTCCACTCCCTTTCTATGCCCCTGATTCTATTATATTCACCAGTTTATTCTGTTCATCAGATTATTTATTCA